GTGAAAATAAACATGTTTAAAAAAACATTTTCATTGCTGTGATTAATTGAGATGCTTTTATAGTTTTTATTAATATTTTGAACCTGTTTTTATTTTTAGAATTTTTTTTTATTTTAATTGTAGTAATTGTGTAGGGTTTTTGTCATTTTTAGTAGTTTGTGTGTGTGTGTTTATATATATATTGTTTTTAATAATTTTATTTCAGTTTTAGTTTTAGTTAATTTACTACATCAAGTTAAGTTAAACTAAATTAAAATCTTGAAATCTTGGCAATTAGCTGAAATAAATGTTTTTTATTTATTCTATTTTATTTCAGTTAATGTTTATTTAAGTAACAAAAATGTTTTTTATGCTTTTAATATTATTAGTTAACTATAATAACTCTGACTGTGATGCAAAAAAAAAAATCGATTATTAATAATTTAATGCTGATTTAAAATTATAAAAATCATTGTGCCCAGACAAAATGATTTTCATTACCATTTAAAAAATTTAATTTGTTGTTGTTATTTGCATTAATGAAAATTTGGGCGAGATAAATGTGTTTAATTGTCACGAAAACAACCTTAATGGTTCTAAAAAATAGGATCTATTGTCTTTACACAATCTATAATTCCTTGTTTTTTCCTATTTATTTGTAGGGTGAAATAGCACCTGGATATCTGATCAATAGATCCAACCATGCTGTACATCAATGTCTCTAACATAACGTTTCTTGAATCAGAATCTGAGACAACAGAAAGTTGAAAGAAACGCCACAGAAATGTTGGTGGAGAAGGTGGAGGGCTCGTTTTTAAGCGGTGTGGATGGTGGGGGTCTTAAAAAGCTTTAATGGCATGATAAGCCCCTTTCACAAGCTCTTAAACGCTCCTCCCTCTGATAGACTCCTCAATGACTGCCGTCTTTGTCCCTCTTTAAACTCCCACCGCTGCAGAAAGTTCAGAGCCCGATCAGCCGTCCCAAAATAATCCCGCCACTCCAAACCCTTGCTTTGTTTTCACCACAGCCGGATCAGCTGATAAGCATCAGCCCCGTGAACAATCACAGAACAATCCAAGACAACAAAACATCCCGCTGCTCGAGGAGTCTGCTGTTGAAACTGCAGAAAAAGACCTTTAAAGGGACGGTTCACCTAAAAAACGATCTTTCTGTCATCATTTGCTCACCATCGGTTTCTTTCACGAAACATGACACTTCCTGTTTCTTTGTAATTATTTGTGAAATTTAGCAGCAGTTTCTGAGTGAAAACTTTCGAAATAAATCCTACGCCAATTTTTTTTTTCAGTCTAGTTGGTGATGGAGAGATGTCAAATCTTCAGAAGTCATGCAATAGTTTTGTGTGAGGAATCTAAATAGGCCTGTCACGATAACAACTTTTTGTTGTGCGATATATTGCCCCAAAAATAATTGCGATAAACAATATTATTGTTATTTTAAGACCATTTTATGCCACTGAATATTTAATCATAATATAAAAGCAGAATGTGTGGTGGAGAGCAACTAAAAATCAACTTTTGTTGGTCAAAGAGCTTGTTTTCTGCAATAATCCAATGGAAAAATCTTACTGGGTTTTTGCCATGGGAACAGTGGTGAAAAAATCTATCGTATTGGGTCTCACGTGTCTTGTAACCAATTGTAATTCACGACTGAATATGCACAAGTCTAAATGAGCTTCAAGAGCAAGAGGGCAAATTCTGTCCAACAGGACTTTAGAGGAACATGTGGTCGAGTAGATAATGAGACTTTCCATCTTTAGGCGAACTGAAGTGCATCAAAACAAAGACAGTTGTCAACACATCGGGGTAATATTCGTGATGGAAGCATATAAAGAAATCTGGATTCTTCTAAACGGGGTCAGAGGCCCGACTCCAGGCGGTCCGGTCCCGCAATAATCCATATCTCCAGCAAAAACTGACATTCTGGGCAACAGTCGTTCGTTGGTGGCGAGAAAACTATTCGCTGTGGAGCCTCGACATCTGGATTCAATCTTGCACAGCCTGTCTGCGCAGCGGTGGCCGACGAGAAACATCTGGTGGAGTTGATGTCAATTACAGCGTTGTGTTTCTCTTCCGAGATAATCCATCCAACACACACAAGCGCGTACACGCTCGCGCACATACGGCCTAAACACTAGAACAGCTAAACACAAGTCAATGACATCCACATTTTTTACTTTATCAGAGGATGTTTGACATCTTCAGTGCTCGTTTTAACACTCTTCAGCACCCAACAGATGAATAAAACGCAGAACTGTGCATGTTAGGTTTGATAAACTAGCATTTGCAAACCACAGAACCCACCTAGGGTGCATCGAGCGTCTGTTTTATTACGGCTGGGACTCAAAGGGTTTGGTTATTTGCTAATTGGACGCAGCTCTCAGTGGTTTGAGAGGAGAACCGTGGAGCCACTGCGAGCCAAGACTACCTCGTTTGAACACTAACAGCTGCTAAAACCGAAGCGGAGACCCATACTTCATTCCCAACTCTTCTTACTCTCTCTTTCTGACGTGCACAAACTCTCCCACGCGATCCGAGGGGCGTGTTGTCAGCTCTGGAGACCCCGGCAGCAAAAGCCAAGAGCAATTAAAGCGCTAATTCAAACCTGAAGGGCCCTTTTGTCCTGTGTTTCCTTTCTTCAAGTCAGAAGATCGGAATCTAACCACCCCCAACACACACACACACACACACACACACAAACACAAACTTCCAGTCTTTCAAGAGCTCCGGCCAAAGTCTCACTAAAGAGGGATGTACATGAGCGTTTAAGTCTCCAGGATGCTGGACAAAACCGTAAATGTGTCGTTTTGGAAATGGTCCATTGTATTATCAATGGTAATACTCTGTTTTTTTAAACAACACTTACAAAAAGTACCATGGTAGTACCATGATTAGGTTTTTTGGACCCTAGCATCAGCATGTTTTATGGATGTTTGCCATAATAGTACCATGGTACATTGGAAAATACATTGGAAAACCATTTAAATAAGTTATCATAATATTACCATCTAATACCATCACTGTACCATGGCACCACCTACCAATTAAAAATATTTTTGTTGACTGAAAAAACCTTAAATAATTTAAAATAAAAATTTGAGATTAAAATTTTTTTTTAAACGTAAACCAAAATTAGAAACATAGCTTTGGCAATTAACCAAAATAAAATAAGTTAAAGATGAAGCACTAAAATGACTAAAACGAAATAAATTATTTATATATATAAAAAAAAAATAATAATAATTAATTGACAAAAGCACATCAAATTGCTAATGCTTCAACTAAAATTTAAATAAAATGTAAAAAATAAAAGCTAATTCAAAACATTAATAAATACTATAATAGTACACAAAATACTCAAATAGCAGTGATCTCCAGTAATAATACTATGGCACTTTGAGAGACACCATGATACTGAAATGTATGTGCCATGGTATTTACATGGTACTCCAAGGTATATTAAAAATATAATTGTGTATGCCCAAAAAAACTATGATATCACCATGCAAGTGTTTTGTAATGTACACAGGCAGTGTGATATTCACTGTCGGTCATCGTGACTAGTCCATCTTCAGCCCATCTCGCCCTCATGTGGTCAAAACCATCATCACATGGTCTGCAGCATCATCAGCTCCTAGTCCAATGCATTTGGTATTCAGGACAAGGAAACAAACCCCGGGGACAAAGCAATGGCCTGCGTTATTCTTGAGCACGAGTGACCCCGACAGCGCTGCTGTGGCACCGGGACGTTTCATTGTAAACACACACACACACACACACTCTCACACACACACACACACACACACACAAAGGCCTCCTGCAGATCAGTCCACCGAGCACCACTAAAGTCCAGATGGTGTGAAACTTTGCAGAGGGGATTAACGCCAAATCCTCCAGTGAGACACGAGAGAGGGGTCCGTCTCCAACCCTCAAAACAGATTAGAGCTGGTTTACCACGCTAGACAGACAGTGTGCCCTTACTACAATCTATGGTATTAGCATGGAAATGGGTATGCACTTTTTCACACAAATTACACACTTCAAAGAATACAATGACATGATTATAATTATAATGTCCAAACAAACAACAAAACATGGGAGTACTATGGTACTTGTCCAAAAAATATGGTAATTGCACTCTTACAAAAAAGTGCAGTGGCTATGATATCAATAATCCATGGTTTTTATGTGGTACTCCAAGAACACTATGGTAGTACCACCATCGTACTTTGTTTGGTCTGCACTCTTACCGTGGTACCAAGTTCCATGTTTTTTGTTTTATAAACATATCCAATTGACCTCCATGGTATTCTCTGAAGTACCTTTTACATTAATTCATTTAGCAGACACTTTTAGTGATATAAAAATAAAAAGCATAAGATCATTCATTGTAAATACCATGATAAATGAATATGCAATCCAAATAATGTGGTATTACTATCTGATATCATCATAAACAATCATAACATTGGCAAATTGAAAAAATTGTACAATTTAACACACTTTAATGATATAGTAAACAACAACTGACCACGGTAAAAGTAGTTGCCACTAAAATACCATATTTAACACCTCCCAAAAGCTTCATTAACTGTTCGAGGGGGTTTCCATATGAATGTATTATGTCTAATATTATCGGATGTCCCATTTATTTTGTTTAATGCTCATACCGGAAGCGTTCTGGCGTTCAAAACAAATGAGTTTGGAACGCTCGTGGCACGAAGACGCTGAAAAACATCGAGACGCTGTACGCATGCGCAGTCAATACAGTACAGTCGCAAACGCAAAGCAAGAGCGCATTTTGCGTGAACGATACCTTACAGTAAAGGCCGCAATGACGGTATTTATCATGGAAAATTCGCCATACACCCCCAAAATGTGTTATTCTCACTGCTCTGTTGATCTTTTTAGTCTGACATGCGTGTCGCGATATGTGTTGCTGTAAGAGAGGAGCTGCACGAAACGCTGCAAACACGCACAAGCCCGTCACATTAGCGCACTTACATTGAAACGCGCCCGGAATCCCGACCATTGTGACTCTCCTCGCGCTGACAGACTCGAGCCGCTCGCCGTGTGCCTGTGCTTTGTAGTTCTTCACGAATAGATCCACGGACCTCTGTGTGTGTGCGTGCGTGTGTGTGTGTGTGTCTGTGTCTCTCTGTGTGTGTGCGTGCGTGTGTGTGTGTGTCTGTGTCTCTCTGTGTGTGTGTGCGTGCGTGTGTGTGTGTGTGTGTCTGTGTCTCTCTGTGTGTGTGTGCGTGCGTGTGTGTGTGTGTCTGTGTCTCTCTGTGTGTGTGCGTGTGTGCGTGCGTGTGTGTGTGTGCGCGTGTGTGTGCGTGTGCGTGCGTGTGCGCGTGTGCGTGCGTGTGTGTGTGTGTGTCTCTGTGTCTCTCTGTGTGTGTGTGTGTGAGAGAGTCTCTGTGTGTGTCTGTGTGTGTGTGTGTGTGAGAGAGAGTCTGTGTGTGTGTGTGTGTGTGTGTGTGTGTGTGTGTGTGAACACACTGACAGCATCCCTGAGATGTTCATGACTGGAGGTGGAGGTACAGAGACTCTGCTATACAATAAACTAAAAACACCGTGGTGATACCATGGGACAGTCATGATACCAGATGTTACTTTGATGTATATCATGGTAATGAATGATTACAGTGTCATACACCATAATACATGTCCAAATGGTAAAACATGGTAATAGCATGTGCATGTTTCCAAATCAAATGTACCACGATAATACCTTGTAGCTACTTCTGGTTTATTGATCATGTAGGCTACCATAGTATGAATTTCAGGACCATGCCATATATAAAGTACCTTGAAAAATGAATGGATAAAAATATAATTATTCCATACAGACTCTCAATTAATAGGCTATCAATAAACTTGTATACAAAATATATTTTAGTATTATTTATATATTATTATATTGTATATTTATGTGTATTCATTTTGTATTATTAACATTTTGAATTAGCTTTTTTATATTTTCAATTGTCATTTAAATTTAAGTTTTAGTCATAAGTTAAGTTAAGTTTTTCATGTGATATTTATATTTTATTTTATTTCAGCTTTATTTAAATTAATGAAAATTATAGTTTTATATTTTTGATTTTAGTTTTAACTAGTAAAAAAAAACACTGATGTATACAAACATACATATTTTAGAAAATAAATTAGTAGAATCATTAAAAAAGTTTTAGATGAAATCTAAAATGAAATACATCTAAGATGAAAGCATGTCACATTATAAATGAGGGGTCTGTGTACAGATGTGTAAAATGTAGTAATTTCTTTTAAAATATTGTATATTTCAAAATGTATTTATAATGTGATTAATTGTATAATATCAATTATAATGTATTAAATAGATATACACATATATAGGTAAGACGCCTCTGACGTTGTTTGTGGTTCAGGAGTGGCTTAACAAGAGGAATATGACAACTGTAGCCAAATTCCTTGACATGTCTGTGTGTGGTGGCTCTTGATGCCTTGACCCCAGCCTCAGTCCATTCCTTGTGAAGTTCACTCAAATTCTTGAATCGATTTTGCTTGACAATCCTCATAAGGCTGCGGTTCTCTCGGTTGGTTGTGCATCTTTTTCTTTCACACTTTTTCCTTCCACTCAACTTTCTGTTAACATGCTTGGATACAGCACTCTGTGAACAGCCAGCTTCTTTGGCAGTGAATGTTTGTGGCTTACCCTCCTTGTGAAGGGTGTCAATGATTGTCTTCTGGACAACTGTCAGATCAGCAGTCTTCCCCATGATTGTGTAGCCTAGTGAACCAAACTGAGAGAGCATTTTGAAGGCTCAGGAAACCTTTGCAGGTGTTTTGAGTTGATTAACTGATTGGCATGTCACCATATTCTAATTTGTTGAGATAGTGAATTGGTGGGTGTTTTGGTTGCATCTATAGAGTGTAAAAAATCTTAAATCAAATGTACAGGTTTACAGGGTTCCTGAAGTGGCTTAGAATCTATAGTGGAAGGTCACTGGATTTTGAAAAAGTTGACAAAGAAGTCATGTGAGTAAAATCTATACCGTCTAAATAGTTTTTCATCCCTATCTGTGTTGATGCTGTGTCCATCCAGGTCCTCATATGTTGGTGGTATGTCTCTAAACAGGATGAGAGTCTCTCCCTCCTCCTGTGGCCTCCCACATGAACACATGCCGCTCATTCTTTCCCAGTCCCCTCACGAGTCGCCACCTGCTCCTGAGTGTACGGCACAGCTGCTGACCAACAACAACAAATTAATACCCACCGTCCTTACTGACACACACCCAGAAGATGCTCTTCCTCGTTCCTGCTCCAGTCACACTTAAAATGTCATTGCAATAGAAAACAATATAAAAGCAAGTAATTTATAGTAAATAAATATGCACAAACACACTTAAAAAATAACATTTGTACCAGTGTTATTTTAGTATCATTGTAGCTCTAATTAATATTTCGATTTTTTTATTTTCTGTTTTCATTTTAATTTTAGATAAAGTTTTTGTCTTTTTTTGTGTTTTTGTCTTTTTTTTTTTTTTATATGTATACAGTTTTTATTATTTTTATTTCAGTTTTTGTTATTTTAATACTTCAAGTTAGACTACAAGAAAATGAGAAATAATGCCTTGCCATCTTGCTGAAATAAAATAAGTTTCTTTTTTTAGTTTTCATTTATTTCAGTTGACGTTTATTTTATTTAAAGCAACAATTTTTAGGTTTAGTTTTAATTTATTTTTTACAAACACACACACATAGTTCTACTACAGCAATTTGAAAACATAAATATAGTAACAAAAACAAATTCAATGATATATAGTTTGAAAAATATTGGAAAAATCTAATAAATACTATACTAGTAAATACTAATGATATAATAATATTTTCAATTTTTTATTTTATTAATGATTTTTTTTTAAAGTTTATTATTTTTTGTGTATTTATGTACACAATTATTTATTTATTTATTGTCTGTTTGTTTTAATTTTGGTTTTATTTCATGATAATAACCCTGGTTTGTACGGTTTGAAATGCTAAAATAATAGATGCTGAACTTGAAGATGTTTGTTTGTGAATCATGTTAATGTGATTCTTTAAGCCTGTGTGAATTTGAGAAGAATTGACCACCAAAAATCGTTAAAACACCAGCTGATACGTGATGTTAGTAAAGAGAAAAGATTCAAACTGAGCAGATCCAGACAGACGGAGTAATAAGCACGTGGCCTATGAATACATCATATATGTGACCCAGCAGGCCTTTGTGATGATAATTTGTAACGGGCATATGAAGCAGCGTGCGTTACATTGACAAAGACAGAAATGCGTTAGTCCGAATAGCAGAAGTCACTCTGCTGATGTGACTCGTGCCAGTGTGTGTGTGTTTGACGGCTGGGTTTGTGTCTCTGAGTGTGTGTCTTTGTCACTGGTCTATTTAGTGCATTATCAGGTCTTTCACAATGCAACAGCTTGAGAATGACCAAGCGACACACACACACACTGAAAAATATTGGAGAGTCAAGTAAATATGGCAAATAATTATTACGGCATACTATAGTACAGTATGTATCAAAATACTGTTTATTCTTCGTTTATTCATAATAATATAATATAACACACACACACACACAATACTAAAATAGTATAGGCTACTAAAATTAACTCGAAAATTGACTAACCAATTAAATGATGATGACAAATAAAATACAGCACAGGTAAGTCTGCAAGATGTCTGTTAAAGATCGCTTCATCTGGAAAGCATCTGCACTGTACAAACATCTGATAGAGGTCTTTAAGTGATTGGTTAGTTTAAAAAACGCTTATCCCGATTTGAAAACTCCCAATAATTGGGAAACACCCCCTTTTTGTTTGCAGAGACCTATATTTGGAAAGAGTCACTGTAAAATCCCCATCGTTAATCGTTTCGTTTGTTAATGTTTCAGTGTTGTGGAACAAATCGATTGAATAAATGAGTCAATATTCACTTATAATTCTGTCACTTGTCGCCATCTACTGGCGCAACTATGTAACTGCAGAAAGAGTCACTGTAAAATCCCCACAACTAATAATAATCCAGTGAAAAGTCCCAGTGCTGTTATATAAATAATATTTCCTCAACTTTTATTGTTGGCAATATTGTTTCAATGATGCAAAATTCAATTCTGCTGTAAAGCAGCTCTAAAAAAAGAGGACAATAGCAAAAAGTCTATTTTTCAGTTCAGGTCAGTTGAATATGTAGATATTAGATTTTTTTTCTACAGTAGCATGTGAAATATCTGCCTAGGAGGGTCTATTCAGGATTCAGCACAAACCATTTAGTTGTGTTAGTTTCTCACTACTATTAGGCACAAGAACAAATTAAGTCGTGGTTGATTATTATGTTTATTATGTCCAATATACATACGTGTTCTATTATGTTTTAATGCTTATTATGTGTTGTCTTATATCAGGGCATTTGAAATGACCAAGCGACACACACACACACACACACACACACACACACACGTCTGCCCCCTCAGCTCTTGCACTCCGGCGGTTCTGCTCCTGTGCATGTGATTGTGTACCTGCTGTTCTTCTGAGGTCCACGCAAAAGGCCGGGGTCAGAAAGGTCAGCAGGCAGACGCCTGGTTAACCCTCCAGGGTAAAGACATCTCCACACACACACACACACGCCACTTCAGGACAGTAAGATTATATGTGAGCAGATGGACACCAGCGACAGCTTATCGTCTGCTGACATGCAGCACAAATACATAGATTTACATTTCATTTTTTATCAGGCAAACGCACACCGACTGCTTGTGGTGGGCTGCTTGTATTTGGCAAAAATAGAAAATAAAGTTTTGGTTTATTTGTGAAATTTCACTGTGCAAACACAAGCGTTATGTATATACTATATAGTTTTAATTAATATTTGTATTTATTTTATTATTTATTTAAATTTTAACAAATTAATTTTTAGGTGTACAGTTTTCATTTTAATTTAAGTTACATTTTTGGAATGTTTGTTGTGTGCTTTTGTCATTTTTATTAGTTTTTTATTTCTTTATTACTATTTAGGTTTAATTTATTTTCAGTAACTAATACTTCAACTTAACCTTATTTCAGTTACTTCCCAAGGGAACATTGCTAAATTTTGTTTACGTAAAATTTTTATCTAATATTTATATATTTATAT